ACAGAAATACGACCACTGAACCCATGGAGGAAACCCTGGAATCTAGGTGAGAGGGTATTATAATGGCTGTATGCTCTATAAATCTGTTAATGTGAATCTCACAATTGAGCCATGGGGTTCTATCCTCTGATGAGAAATATGATTTGCCTCATATCATTTGGATACCAGATACTATTAATGCAGTGCAGGCTAAGCAATGTGTTGCAGTCTCTGTTAGTGGTAGTGAGATATATTAGCTTAGATCATTCTTTTTGCCTGGAAAAAAAATTAAGGAGGAAAACATTCAGCGGACTTTTTGGAAGTTTTGTATTGGGAAAGTATAGCCCAAGCTTTACTTATATGTTGTTATAAGGCACCATGAGCAGTGTTGGAATAAGTGCTTGTGCCTCACAGTCACACACTTATCCCTGGAATACAGCCCTTTCCTTCAGTTTTCCTATTCCCCTCCCCAGATTTCTAGGGTTCTGTGATAATTTTTTTCTCCTCCCTAACAGATGTATCAAGAACCTTATGTGCTCAGCACTTTCTTTTATAATTTCATAGAAGTGTTGAAGTTTTTGTTCACAGCAAACTGTGAATGAGAATTAAATGTTTCTGTCAAAAAAAAAAAATAAATAAATAAATGTTCCAGAGTGATGCAGATGGTCAAAAATTGGAGGAATCATCCATGGGGGGGTTTCTTTGGTTTTCTTGAAATAACTGTTGTTTAACTTGTAAGTCAATGAACTCTCTACCAAAGGCAATGAATACCATCCACCTTTTCCTATTAATAATGATCCTGCAGAAGATTTGGTAAAGCTACTGAGGTATTACCTAGTATACACACTTTTTCTGGTACTTTGGCCAATGCAAGTTATTTTTATTACATGGGAAGTAAAAGTCGGTTCCAGAACTAAATCTTGACATTGTACATTTAGACTTGGATTAACAGGCACTTTGGAAGAAAGTATCATATAACAGAGTCTAACTGTAAGAGAGACAGTTTAAACTTGCATGTTGTTCAGTTAAATTTAAGGTGTAGGAACACCTTCCTGTCTTGTATCCTCATTTGTAAGTGATTATGCTGGTCCCTCTCATCTCACACTTGCATTACGCCAGGCAGCTTTGCCAGTTTGAAAGTCTCCAGAAAAAGGGCCGAACTTCTTCCTTAAGGTAGTCAGTTATCTCCTAGAATAAGCCCAGCCATAAGTAGTGTTGAAGGCTGAATCTTTCAGTAACTTGGAACAACTGGGTTATATCACATGCAAGTTCACTGATACCAAAAAGGAGAGATCCACAGGCCTTAAGTTATAAGCTTGTAAAGTATGCTTACTGTAAAGTATAGAAAAGTTTTATGCATGAGCATGTAAGTGAGGAGGAGATGTCCTCAGTGCATGACTGGTCTGTTTGTAGGGTTAGGATGCAAAGAGGATTGTACTGACAATCTGGACTCCAGTGCCCTCTGAGCAAGTTTTGTATATGGCTCTGAACATTCTTGCTCATTTCTAGCCCATGTCCTCTTTCCTTTTTTGAAATGTTTGTGGCTGAGTGCATTGAGAGAGGGAGTATCATTTTAGATGTGCTACTGAGATGTTCCTATATGTTAATTCCTGTGACATTTCCACTGTAACAGCTGTCATATGAATTTTGTATGACAGCTTTCTAGTGCAATGAAATGCTTTAACATGTTTTAGGTGAAAGAGTACTCATTTGTTTGGCAGATAGATGCACACACATTAGCCGTTATGTTCCTAAGTCCATAAGAAGTCAGGGTGCAGTATTTCAAAATCCCCTATCCTCCTGGATTGAGCCCAGACAGCTAAAAGGAGTACAAGGTGTAGGTGGAAAAACAAGTCTTCCCTTGTGCTAGCTACAGTGGGTAGGGTTGCAGGGGAAGGACAGACCAGGACAAACTTATTTCTACTCTCTTTCTATGGCAACTTATTAAGAATAAGACCCAGTTTCAGCTAAACTGGGCTTTTTTCATCATTTTGTGGCCTCTATACATGAAAATGCAGCATTCACCCGTCTTCTGGTTCTCCAGTCACTGAGAAAGACTTCTAAACAGCCAAGGACCGAGTCTTAATGAATTTTAAAAGCTTATAAAATGTTCTTTGGTTATATATGCTTTAAAACAAAAGTTTTATTCTCGCATGTTGGCATGTCTTTATTAGCACCATATATTTACTTTTTATAGGAGTGAGAGCATGATTACTTTTATGCCAGCATATTTGATTGTGTAATGACTTACTTTACATTTACAGGGAGCTATTGTTTCTTATGAGGAAAAATAAAGTTTCTGTGGAGTGTTTAGTTAACTCACTGTTGAAGTGAAGCAAGACATATCTTTGGAAATCTCTTAAAGCATTATTTCTAATGGCACCAATCAGACCCTTGTTTTCCCTGTGAAAATATATGTGAATTTATAATGGACAAAGATAGAATTATCCCAGAATTGCTTCAGGAAAAAAAAAAAAGATTTCTCTCAGAGGAGGTGCGCAGATATGGATTGCGGTGCATGTTACTGTTCTATTGGCAGGCTGGCTTTGATTTTCAGTGCAAGACAATCTCCTGCTGCTTTTGATGGTCAGAAATAATTCCCTTTAAATTGAGCTATTGCATTTCCTAAGTGGAACTGGTCCTTATTTATGAGTACAAGACAAAGAATAATCTTACCCAGGGATTTTAATATTGCCAGTGATGAAAAACTGAATGCTTGATGTGTCTCAGTATTCTCAGGTCTTTGCAGTCTCTCAAAGTCTGTCCCAATTTAATCCAAGATATTGCAAGCTCATTGTAATGAAAGGAACTATATTCACAGGCTTTTTCTAGATCAGGAGATCCTTCCTTTCCATTCCCACTACAGATTTTGTGTAAGGTCCTTATAGAGCTAAGCAGACCTTGTTAAAACTTAATTCCATGTTGTATTAGAAACATGTCTAGAAAGGGCTTTTCTCACAGGTTGGTGTTTAATTATTAACAGTTATTACTGCTGACTCTCTAGCTAACTTATTCTCTCTCTCTTGTTCTTTCTCATGAGATTGGAGAGACTCTAAGATGTATGGAACTTGCATGGAGCTGAAGTTTGCAGTGAACAAGACTTGTAGAAGATCCTCAGTTCTCCCAGCATATGGGTGCATTTAGAGCTGAGGCCTGGATGTCCTTTTTAACACCTGCTCTAGAGCATGAATTACTGTAACAACATTTCCACTGACAGTGAAGTGCTTCCTCAATAGATGTGAGCTTATTGTCTGTTCTGTTGCTAGTAAAGCCAGCTGATTAGAAGGCCGGTGTAGCAGCTAGGTGATGTAATACATGCCTTCGAAAACTCTTATCAGAGCCCTGCATGCTTTCAGGAATGCTCACAATTCATCTGTGTTTGTGAATGTGAAAAGAGCCCCATTCATTCTTCATTGCACTGACCTGCTGGAAGCAGCCTCTAAGGAGCTAAGTTTTAAAGCTTGAAATCAACACTGCTGCCTCCTGCTCTTCATGCCTCTCCCACAGTGACAGAGTTTCAACAAAGGAAATGCTGGGTCAGAGAGTGGGTTTTTTCCTCTGCATCTGTTCTGTCAATATGAGGAAGTCAGAGTGCTCTGAGCGGCTTCATTTTCCATGTGCAAATGTACTACTTCAAAGGTCTATCAGGTGTTAATCTGCAATGAGCCATGGCATTCAGATTGAGGGCAACAATAAAGGAAAACTGGCCATCAGAAGTGAAGTAGGGAGAAGTCTTGGCCGTAATGTTCGACTGCAGTTGTCCCTTCCCAATGGGTATGGCTGATCAAAGACTTCAGTTAGGGGACCACACTCAGGGATGATTATTATTACTTTATTATTTAGCAATGAGATACTTTTGATTAGTGCTATTTAAGGCTATGAAATCAAGCACAAGAAAGTTGGGACTGTTCAGCCTGGAGAAGAGAAGGCTGTGTGGAGACCTTATAGCAGCCTTCCAGTATCTGAAGGGGGCCTATAGGGATGCTGGGGAGGGACTCTTCATTAGGGACTGTAGTGATAGGACAAGGGGTAATGGGTTAAAACTTAAACAGGGAAAGTTTAGATTGGATATAAGGAGGAAATTCTTTCCTGTTAGGGTGGTGAGGCACTGGAATGAGTTGCCTAGGGAGGTTGTGAATGCTCCATCCCTGTCAGTGTTCAAGGCCAGGTTGGACGAGGCCTTGGGTGCCATGGTTTAAGGTGAGGTGTCCCTGCCCATGGCAGGGGGGTTGGAATTTGATGATCTTAAGGTCCTTTCCAATTCTAACTATTCTATGATTTTTTATAAAAAACTCCTATGTTAATTCTTACTAAGCGAACCATGTCATTTTCTTCCATTCCTTATGCAGTAAACTCCTAAGAAGGAGTATTTCTTTAACTCATGCAAAAATGACATTCTTTGCTCTATGCTGCCAAAAAAGATGACCAAAAGAAAACCTTTAGTCTTAGAGGAAATACAAGAGAAGCATGTGTTAGATACACTAATGGTTTTGCTGATCTGTGATTTAGCACCACTGGTCCTTTTTGCAGCTGCTTTGTAAAATGCAGGTTAGATCTCAGATACCTTTCAGAAGGGGTTTGATGGATGACCTTGTCTTGCCACAGGAAACTGCACAACCTTAAGTTGAGTGGTTACCAAAGGAAGTGGTGGCATTCCCCTTAGACAAGAACTGTATGCACTGGCAATTTTTGGCTTTTGAAATGGCTCCACAAGATCTTGGCCATCTGAGTGCAATTCAAAATACCCTGTTATGTACACTCATCTGAGGAGGAGGGATCACTGAGGGGACGTGCTGTATTTAAGATCTGAGCAATCACATGCCTTTAAAATTTCATTAGAATGATACTGGGATAAGTCATTTTGTAAAGACATTAAAGATGTGAAAAGAAGGAGAAGATGTGCTGTTTACCCCTGAATGTGTGCAGCTTCACTGCATGAAAAAAGTTATATATAAAGGCATTCTGGTCAGTCTTGCAAAATAATTTGCAAGATTGCAGATTTTGGTAACTGCTAGTACTAACTTTGCAAATGCAAAGGATTTGAGTATATTTGCCCATGAAAGTGTTTGTATCCTCAGGTCTTTGGTTATTGAACAGCCAGTCTTCTGCTAATAGAACATGCAAAATAGGTCAGACAAGAGCCCAGTGCCATCTCAATGATTCTCCAGTTTTTCTGTGTCCCTTGAAGCAAAGGAGAGTATGAAAAGATCTGATTTTCATTTTCATAGGAGTTTTTGTTTTATCAAATACATCCACCTCGGTTGTGAAAAGTTGGCTGAAGCAAGAAAGAACAGTTGAATATTTGTGCTTTCAAATAGAATTTCGCCAAAAAGTGTCACTACAACTCACTTGTACCAGGGACGATCCTTTGCAACCTTAGCAAGGTCCATAGAGTGCAGCAGAGAGCAATGCAGAGGAAAACAAACCAGTAGAAAGTACAGGTACACAAAGTACAACTGGAGAGGCCCCCAGTGAGGATCGGTATTGTATGCTGGTGATCTACAAAGAAACCAGTTTAAATATAACTTGGACATCTATCACAGGACATAGGCTTCCTTCAAATTGACTCTGTCCATTCTTTTCACTTATAGTCCCTGACCATTGGACTGCTGTGGTTTAATTGTGTCCAAGATCCAAGATACTGCTCGGATTGTTCTGCAATAAATTCTTCAGATTCAGCAGGAGGGAGCCCATAGATGTTAAAGTAACCCCATCCCTGCAGCCAGTGGTGCCACCGCTTTAAAGAAAGGATTCTTTCTTCTGGATCAATCGGGGTTTTCCCAACAGCCAGCCCTGTTGTACAGGTGATGTTTTGGATGTGTGCCTGTTCTCTACACTTGCCTTTGATTGCTTTCTTCTTTATAGTTCTTTTCCTGCTAACTTCTTAATGCCTTGCAGAAGGCATTGGTTTTATTATGTGTCTGCCCTTGCAGTCCTCGCTCACAAAAATGCTTCACCACAGTATGCCCTTTTATACCTTAGTCATTCTTTCTTACTGCTGTACAGAGGGCATAGCCAACCCTGGGAAATCGCTTTCTGTGGCATGCTGATGTATTGTGCTTAATGTATTATCAACAAGGACAAGTCTGCCTCAGGCAACTCCAGCAACCCAAAAAGCATGGGGATTTTTTTATACAGCAGCTCTTTTAAAAAGAAGTGCATATCTGATGCAGAGAAACTTTTTCCTTTGGTTTCCTGCAGGTAAAAGCAGCAGTTGATGCTATGCAGAAAGACAAGCCAACAAGACATTGCTCAGGTGAAACAAAGTGGAAAGAAACTATGGTGAATTTCATTAGTACTGTCCATTCGCATAACATTGCAGAGAACTTCATGCAGCACCTAGGAGAAAACATGTTCTAGAAGGGATTCTATTGTCATCCCAGCACCAAAAGAGTAATCCTGACATCACTTCGAGAGGGCTGTGCTGTGAGGTCCACTTCTACCACCGCATTTGCATGAGAAAATAAGAAGTCTTATGCCGTGTTGTAAAGCCCTGAAAGGCTGCCCTTGTTAGTCAGAAAAATAGAAGGAGGCATTCCAGAGTGCAGGTCGTCTTGCAGTTACATTGGAGCTCGCAGGATTGCAAAGCATCCCAAGTCTGGGAGATAGTGCTGCTGTCCCCAGCAGATTTTTAAATGACTTTCGTTTCCTTTAAAATTAAGTCCAGAATGAGTGGTTTTCTTGACAAATGACTGGCAGTTCTGTAACTCCAGACATCAGGAATTCTAGCACAAATCCCATACATGTGTTCCTAAATTAGTACGCAAAATGACCATATCGTCTGATCATAATTTAAAGAATTATGCAGGATTCAGAAAGAAACTGATCTTTTAGGCAGTTTCCCTTAATTTAGGAGCTCATAATGAACAGGAATTTTTAACTTGTTTGAAATCTCATTTCAAACTGAGCTCTAACATAACCTAACCTTCTGACTGTGTACACTTATACTGCCAACGGCTAGAAATTCAAGTGCGCAATGCTCTTCTGTCCTCACAATAAACTTGAAATCTCTCTGATTTGGACCTCAGCCTGAAATGTTCTGCATGCCTTCTCTTGTCCTGACCTTGGCTGTCACAGTGGCACCCTGAAACATACAGGAAAGCATCATTGTTTTCTATCAGCCTCCATTTTAGTATATCAAGATGAAAAATAGTGTTTTTAAGCATATGCACTGCTGCATGTGTTCTGTCTGTATGTCTGCTCTGCCATGTGTACATATCACCACCTAGGAAGCAGGTACAGACATTGTCTGGAGCTAAGGGAAATGGGAGGTTTAGCAATTACATCTTTTTCAGAAAGAGACCATTAGGATGCTGCTCATAGGGTGGTCTGAGAGAGCCAAGGTATTTGGTATCCCAGTGTTACATGGCAGAAGCCTCCCTCCTGCATCCTGGACAAAGCTTATACTTAGAAAACTATACAGTAAAAAAAAATCTGCAGCTGACCATTTAATCCATTTAGTAATTTTTACTATGTCTGCCCTTTTTGTACCTGCTTTCTTGATGAAGAGGGTGAACTCACGCACTGAAGCTGGGAGAGAACACCCTGTTTAATAGGATAGAACAGAACTTCTACTGCCACCAGCCACAAATTGTCTCTTTACTTTTGGGGATCTTTTTTCCCCCTCTATTTTTTTAGGTATTTTCCCTGAGCTCATCAGTCAGGATGAGTAGCATCACGCCTTCACAGATGTGCTCAGGAGGAACCTTCTACGACAGCTTCTCAAAGTGCTTTATCTTTTTGCTGACAAATGGGTGCCAGGGTCAGAACTTAATGAAGTCTTCAGAGAAAATTTTGCAATGAATTAGGGAATCTCAAAGGTATGAACCTGCAGTAAAACCAGTGCAACAAGTGATTTATCTTCTTCTATTCACTTTTTGACAGGCTGAACACTCGGCTTTGTGGCAAGCTGTAATATCACCTTACCTACACCCACATTTATTTTTCAGGTTTCCTGCCTGACATTCCAAAAAACTGAGGTCAGGTGGGCAATGGCCTGGAGTAATTTACAGTTCGTGTCCCACTGATATCTTCAGACGTGAAAGCTGCTTGAGCACCTCTGCTAATGCTCCTCAAGAAAATTACCTGGACAATTAAGCATGGAAGTCAAGATAGAATGCCAGTGGTTGTTTCCCTCTGCACTGTGGAGCTGGATTCATGTCAGCAAGTAGGTGCTGCTCTTTTTCTAGGAGTACAGAACAAAGTTTGTTCTCCTGTCTCTCAAAGAAACTCGTCAGGAGACACCCAGTTTCCCAAAGCACATAATTTCCAGTGCTAAGCTGATGTTCCTATCACCACAGAGGACTTCTGATGCTTAGGTAAGACCTTTTATGGCATAATCTTATTTACCACAAACTGTTTTACTTCCCTTATTCAGATACAGGAAGGATAGACCAATGGGCAGAATTCTATCATGCTGTTGATGACCAGGACAATAGTGGTAGATATAGAGCAGAACTAACAATTTGAATGGAAAATGTAAATAGTGTCTTGGTTCTTGAGAAATTAATGTTAGCTTACCAATTTTGCCAAATTTATTTTTTCCACTGAAACAGATGTGAGCAGAAATGTTTTTATCAGTTCTAGGAGCCAAGGTATTTTTCTCCATTTGAAAACATACAGAGTTTGCATGTGTGTTGGTAGCATTAAGCTCTTAGTAGAAAAACACCCTTTTCTCAAAAACCACTCTTGGATTTCTATTGACCATCTCAGCCCATAGACCAAGAACTGAATGTATATGTAGAATCAGTTACTTTTTCCCTGATAGAGTAATATATACTAGGAAACACAGACACCATTTGCTGTGCTGAGCTGGTGAGCAATGCCCTTGCAGCACCCCAGAGAGCAGGCTGGCTGCTCTGGGTCTGAAGGACAGACCTCAGCTGGCCAGAGTCAGTGAGATGCTGTCAAGGGACTTAAGTCATCCCCAAAGTGCAGATTCAGTTATATAAATATAGGCAGTCATCTTCAGAAACTGTTGCTCTGGACTGCACCATTTTCACCAGCAATAAAACAAGGCAAGAGCTAGTCCTGGCTGGTGAGAAGCCCAGAGTCTTATGTGTAAATGTAGCTTTGTTACTAAAAAAGGGAGGAGGGCTTAATTCCCTCTCATACTTCTTGTTTAAACTAACTTACATGGCTGCACAGTGGGTGTTTGTAAATGACCTTTACTAGATGTGTTTTCTGGTTTAAATTTTCATGTTGAAATGAACAGTGAAGGAATCCAGATGTGGTGTTGTGTTATGATGAGAATATTTTGAATGGGCAGATGTTCTGGTATGCTCTCAGGTCAAGACATTTCTGTATCTTTTGTATTGCTTCATTGTTTAATGTCAAGAAACTTGATTTTCTCAGCAACATTCATTAATTTTCATGAAATGTGTAATCATATATGAATAGGTACAAATACCCAGCATCAGTTCCTTTCTTCTGATGTCTGTTCTGTTTTTATACATAGAACTCGTGCAATTAGACTTTTACATTAAACAGATTCCTTATTTGAAAGCTCACTTGGCTTTCAAATTTAGATTTGAAAAAACATTGAATGAAATTAAATGTTTCTTTTGGATAGAACACTGACGAAGAAAAGGAAATCCCTTGCTGCGGGATATTGCAGTCACGGGTCATGAATGTTTAAGCAGGAGTTACTGCCATCCAGAGGAGAAAAGCCATAAACTGTCATATTTCATTATTTTTTAAGCAAAGAAAGGCAAACCTAGATGGTTGATTCAGTTTATTTCTTATTAAGGAATCAAAGAACAGAGGAATAGTATAAATGTACCCAGAGGTTTCTGTGGGGTTTTATATGTGGGTATTTATGAAACAAAGTTCAAAGCAGCACTGGAGAAGCACAGTAAAACACACATCTATAGAGGAAGAAGCTCCAGGTCATAAACCAGATTTATTTTCATCTCTGCCATTTGAGGTATTTAAGGAAGAGGTTTTAGAAATCCCTTTGCTAGGTTCCAAGCTTTGGACATGACCCAGAATGTGGAAAGGGGATGTATAATCTGTACTGGTATCCCAGGCCTCTGGGGATGTGCAGGCCCCTTGTCAGAGGAGTTCAGTGGAGAAGCTGTTGGCCATGGCAGAGAGCTCCCAGGGCACGCAGGGCTGTTAAAGCAGGAGACTGAATGAGGCTGTGGGTGAAGGTGGTTTTCACAACTCCTGATAATCCAGAAAACACAAAACCTCTGGGAAAAATAAAAGGAAAAGGGAGGAGGGGACGTTGTTTATATCTTCTGCCCAGAGCGTCCCTGGAGTTTAGCAAGAAGTTCTCAGCTGAAGGAAAAAAAGAAGGGGGGGGGGGGGAGGGGGGGCCACGACACGGATTAAACTATTGACATGTAACGCCCTTTTTGGACAGCCTATCTTCAGTCACCAGCATGGACAAAATCCAAGAGTGGTGATAAATTTCTCATAAAAGCCAGTAATGATAATCCACCCAAGGAAGGTATTTCTAAATAGCATCTTATCTGAACAGTATCTAAAGGCCCTTCTAAATGGTAACTTCAGTATTTTTTACCTCGTTAGGGACTAGGTTCTGGGTTGCGCGCATTTCTCCTGATGTATATTCTGCACATGAAAACATAACGCGTGCATTCCAACCTTTCTTGGGTTTACATAGGTGAAAACGGAGCCTCACGGCCACGGCACGGGGCGCGTTAGGACCCCGCGCGGGCGCACCCAAAGTGCCCGCCGGGTGCCGGCCCGTGGCGAAGCAGGACCGGCAGCGCCCTCTGCTGGGCACAGGGCGCAGAGGCGGACGGGCGGGCGGGCGGTAGGACCCGGGGTTTGCGGTGCTGCTGCCGACTGCTGCCAGCCACGCGAGCAGCCGCAGGAGCCGCCTGGGCACGCAGCCGCTCCGTAGCCGGCACCGGGCGGGTTGTGTCGCCTGTAGCTGGGTGCAGCCGAGGTCAGCTCCTGGGTTACTTCAGGTAATCGCTGTACATGCAAAAAGTGAGATAGGTACTGCGGGTGTCCTCGCTACGGAGTAGATTCGCAGCTGCGCTTACAGTGATTGGTTCCCAAACTGAAATGATTGCCACCTGGTAGAGGCACATTACTACTGTGCCTGTACAGAAGTGTTAGAAACCCAGGAACGGTCAAACCGCTGCAGTTACAGCCGAGGTCGGAGAGATTTGAAGCCTCACGCTATGGGTGAAGAACCCTATAACCGCTTTCCCTTTTTGCTACTGAGTAGCAGAGTCTCCTGGCCCTCAAAAAGATCATTAAAAGGAAGGTGGGGCTTTCAGGAGGGGAAATTCTCCCATCAGAGGGTAATTCTTTTGAATTTTAGACCATACTAATGACACCTACTAAACCTTCCCTTCCAGATTTTACCCACAAGTGTAACCCAGGAAGCAGAGTGAAGCTCAAATTCTCTGTGAATGCAGTCATGTATTAGCAGCTGTCAAAGCTGTGTTTGTGCTTCTTATGCACATGGTAGGACCAAGCTGTGTTAAATGGATTGACTCTTTCCTCAAGGGTTTTTACTTAATGGAGGAATTTCCAGAAGGATCCCAGCCTGAGACCAGCGACGTGGCTGCCCTACCCTCAGATTTATATGTCGAGGTAGAAGAGAGGTCAAACACACAGCCTTCCACTTCAGTTATGTGCCTGATGACCTGCTATAGGAATAACTATTGATCTCTGCTTATAACTCCTGTTAAGAGTCCTGTACGTATCGACAGTCCTGGAACCCCAGATTTAAATACCAGGAGTGCCAAAGACAACCAAGCAAATATCTTAGCTTGTTGTCTGCAAACTTTCCCTCTGGTAAAATATTTCTGTTGTGATTTTTGCCATTGACACAAAAAAAAATCTGAAATTGTACTAGTTCATAAGCATGCAAAATAATGTATTTATTCTAAATAATGTTTTAGGATTTTTAAATAGGTTATTTTTCCTTCTCCTGTATATTGCTGAAACTTAAAGGGAAATGGGAAATTATTAATCTTAAATGGGAAAAGAGAAATTATTGTCAATAACATATGTCATAGTCCGTTAAAAAGTACCGTAGAATACCCTGTTGATACCACTCAGCTACCCAGCACCTGGAAACTGAATGAAGTTGGTAGCAACACAGAACAAGCCTTTGTCACTGTATCAGATACCTTCAGCAGAGCATTGTGTCATCTCTAGCTCCATCACAAGGTGATCTGTTTCGATAGCACGTGAGGGGCAATTGTTCCTGCAGGCAATAGATAACCCTAAACAGGCAGCATTCAACAAAAGCAGAGCAGAAATCACTAGCTACTATTTCCAATTAGGAAAAAGAAAAAGCATCATGAAGAGGTACATTTTCCAGAGCCAAAATTATGTTGTATTCCATATGGTCTATATTTTTAATATTATAATCCAAACAAAAATGAACTTAATTTAGAAATCTGCATTAAAATCTGGAAGAGGCACGTTGAGATGTAAGGAGGTGCATGGGCCAGTACCCAAATCATTGGATATAATTTTCCGCTACATTTGTCTGACTAAATCCATGTAGACTTTGAACAAGTTTGGCAAGAGCCTTTTAGTGGTTTTGTTTTTACAGCCATATAAAGGGGAAAAGTCTCTTGTGTATTGAGTGTCCCTGGAAATGGGTAAAATCATTGTGGTAAAATGTGTTTATATATTTTAAAACAATCATGAATCAAGACAATTCTTTGAAGACAATTTATAGTAATAATTTCATGTCTGTTTCTTGAGTTGCCTAGTCTACATAGCTGCCTAAATGGGTGCCAATGCAAACAGTCAGTATTAGGCGCTGCCAAATGAAATCATCACCCATTTTAGTGCCCCTTACCAAAGCATGCTCCTCACTGGCAGCCTTCAGTGCATAAACAAACTGATGAATCATCTTGCTAGCTCGGAGAGTGATGGTGAAAATAAGCTCGTTCTCAATGCAACAGTTTGGTCATTTGAGACAGGAAATCACTTTGTGTTGGGAAGTAGTACTGGGTAAATCTCAACCAGTTTCCATAATGGCGAACAGCTCAGGTTGCAGCAGGAATGATGTGATTATGATGGGCAGGAAGCAGAATAAGACAAGTTCCAGCAAAAAACTCCATAGAACACAATAGTGAATATTGTTCTTGATGTAGATCTTTAATAGGTGGTTCAAAAACTTATACCAAGATTAATTCTACAAATCCATTAAGCTCATAGAGCTGTTTTGATGGAATTCTATTCAATATGGTAGGGTTTTTCTATAGAAACACTTGTATGTGCCCTGCATCAACCACCCTGAGCCCAGTTCTACAGAAGTATCTTCACAAATAATGACTTAAAGAAGGAGATACAGAGAACTAGATGGGGAACTATGAAAGCATGCATTCTTTTTCTCTCCCATTTTAATCAGCTGCAGTACCTCATTGTCCATGAAAGCTGACAGAGGCATCAATGACAAGTTGCCACAACATAAGGGGGCACAGACTGCTCAGTAGTACTTTGAGAGGTGTTTCTTGTGCGGGATCTGCACTGAAGCTGATTTTGCTTCCTCTCTTTCATGGCAGAGGCTAAACTTTGGAGTGGTGTCAAGTCTGGTTTTATGATACTAAGATCTCCCTGGGAATTTATGAGGCACTCTCCTTGGATTTAATTTATCCCTTCAGGGAATGTGGGTTATAGATGAGTCATTTTAAGCCCACTGACCTCAGTCACCTTCTGTGACAGGTAAACTCAAGCTTAAAGTGAAAAGATCCCCAGGGTCACTGGTTTCTGCTAAAGGATACATGTGTGCTATCAGAATACTGAAATAATCAGATAAATGTGATGCAAATTGGGGCAGCTTGCTTGGAGCAGTGCTGCTGACACAGAACACAAAACCAATGTAAGAACCACTGAGGTTTAATTCCAGAATCATTAATTCTTCCCAAATGGTCCAGATTTCAATAGAATAAAATTTGATAGTGAATTCCACTTTATATGATAATACAGGGGACTAATAGCAATTACCTGTTGAATGGCAATGGAGCTGAGCAGTGTCTGAGGCATCTGGGTTACTCAGCGAAGACTTGAAAGATTCCCTGAAGAGGTGCTGCCTCTTACAGTAGCTCACTGTAATCTACCTGTAAATCTTCATAATTTTCATGGCTGTTTTACATGTCAAAAGTTCCATTTCAAGCTGAAATACTTACCAATCCACCTGCAGCTTCCTTGCATGTCTGTTGGGCAAGGAAGTGTGCTGGTATTTTCAGCGTCTTTGTAAAACTATGGAGTATGTTTGGACATATTGTGGAATGCAGTAAACAATGCAGTGCATTCCTGGGGTGAATTTTCTCACTAGTTTATGGTTTTGAAACTCAAAGCTCCGTACTGTAATTTAAGGATTTGTAGTTGTTTTGAGCAAGGGAAAAATTAGAAGATGATGGACTCCATTATAGGAGACTTATTTAATGCCCTATTCAAACCCTATCCAGATATTTCATCTGAAGTCTTCACCTAGAGTCAATATTACATGGGATCAGCTATCTGAAAGAAAATGATGGAACATTTTCTTAGCTGTTAGGCACCTGAGAAATGTAGAATTTGATGATGCCAAACTATCTGCCATATGTGTACTTTCTCTAGTCTTATTTTCCTGAATGAAATGTGGTTACCACAAAGGCTATTTCCAATTGAAAAGGAGAGAGCAGTTAGATTTGGCTTTCCTAGATGTGGTGTATCTCTTAGCAAATGTTTTACAGTTTCTATTACAAATTTGAGGGGAAGTTTTTCTCATTAACAGTCATTACTTTACATTTTCAGCACAGAAAAAAATAAGGATGTTGAGGTAAGTTTCAAGCCACCATTTTAGATTTTAAAGAGAATTAGTGCACTCACTGGGATTAAACCACAGGCACCCATATATTTACCAGACCATTTATGGGTTTTACTTCTATTTTATCCCTTAAACAAAAGTGAAGAAATAATAGAATTACATTTACATATTTACTTAAAAGAAGGTAATTTATAAACTATTATAAATAGTAAATACCTAATTCCAACTTTTAAACAAATAAGACCAAAAAAAAAAAGGTATTTCTGTAAGATTTAATGTAAGAACAGCTGTAAGGAAAATATTTCTGATTTCTTTAGGTCAGTTTTAGAATCATAGGTAGTTTAGGCTGGAAGAAACTTCTGGATGTCTTCTAGTCCAAGCCCTTTCTCCAAGCAGTTATCATTACATCAGGTTGCTCATCGTTGCATCCAATCAAGTTGAAACATCCAAAGACAAAGATTCCGCAACCTCTACTGAATGCTGATTGCTGCAATGCGTTGGTAAGAAAGCAATTCACATGCAAAATTATTCCCCATTTTTTTCTGGATAAAATTTGGAATGTCCCACTTTTTATCAGAGGCCTTTCCCATTTTCTGGATTGCATATGTCCTGTTCAGGTATCATATGCCTGATATCTGGTAGCAGCTAACCAGTGCCAAGAGGTACCTGCTCCGTTTAGTCTTGTACAAGCTTACAGTGGTAATAATGAGTTAAGTAGCTTAGAGTGCAAAAGTTAGCACAGTAAGTAAAATGTTTGGTTGCTCTATGATTTACATCTGGTTTGTTTCCTTGTTTACAAAACTGGCTGGGGTTATTTTTCCCCTCAAGCTATTTTAAAGCTGTACTTCATCATCTTTGAATGATTTTTTAGATATTTCACTTCATCTACAGTATTTTGTTTCTTTATCCAAAGTTTTAATGGTCTTTCATTTATGCTTCATATGAAACTACTGACAAAAGCCTTAGCCCGTGTCAGAACCTGTATGCTCAGCCCTGCAGAAATACATCAGGAGGATTTCCTTGTGGGTCAGTTAGCTCTTTCTGCTTTACCATGTCCTCATCCTTGGATCTGCCTGAGGGCAACTCTGGTGATTTCTGGGGGAGCAGGAATAAGGACTCATTCTCCTCACCTTGGAACACGATCCTTGTTTTACATCTAATGTTGTTTTTCTGGCCAACAGTCACTGCAATAATCAGCTTTTCAGTATTTAAAAACAGTCCCTTAAAATGGTGCAGTGATTTAACTCATATCTTTGGACAAACTCTGGAAAACCTAGCATCATTGCTAGAACCACTGGTAGCCCTTCTCAGTGTGTAAATCCCATGTGAGTTCACAGCCCATGCAGACTTCACTGACCTCTATAGAGCTGGGGAGCAGAGGTTTTGCCTCATCCCCACTGATGTGTCCTATCTCTCTTCATCTTCTGTCTCCTCTGCTGTGCAGATCTCAGGTCAGAAGAGCCAGGAAAGCTGTTGTGATTACTTCTATGGCAAAGCAGTGCTTCAAGAAACACATCCCAGAGACATAGTTGTCTGCCAGTACTTTGGTCTCAGCTAGTTACAGAAGATAAGTTTTGGCCTGAACTACTGGTGGGAGCCTCTTCTTCCACCTTCCTGGGAGACCAGTGTTCTGCCAGGTCAGTTCCCCTGCCAGAAATGAACATGGGGCATCTGTTTAAACTGGGAAGCTGATAGTGTTGAACTCCTCTATTTGTATAAGCTAGCTGGCTATCCTCTTGCCATTTCTAATGTAAATCTACTATGGTGTTACGAAACTTTATTTATTTTAAGCTTGCAATATTTACCAAAGCAAGATGTACAAAAAGGGTCCTTTTTAACTTCCATTCCATTTTTCTACCGAGTTAGTTGTTGGAAAGATATGTTCATGTATAATTAAATGTGGCTTGCTTAAACCTTTGCAGTTGGTAGCTTAATATATATTTGGTTGTACTTTGAGTACAAAGGCTATATTATGCTTTTGTTGGCATCCTTGCTGGTTAGTATGCCAACTGCATAATTTTGTTCTCTGCTATATGTCAGGATTCGAGTGCCGAGGGCTCAACAGGTGGTGCTGGGATAAAGTTCTGGCAAATCAAATAGGTAATGCGGTTATTTCTTTTGTCAAATTATAATTGAAAACAGAGACAAGTAAAATGAAACTCACATTTTCCTGGTGCAAAACAGGGTTTAGAATTAAATTCAAATCAGTTTCCATGACAAATACACATTACTACCGGAGCTTGGTCTGTAAATAAACATGCAACACCTTAGTTTTGATGTAGAATGATTTGTTCCCTGTAAATTTAAACCTTAAACATCAGTGTTTAAACAATAACAGACGGCTGGAGTCTTCCATGAATCTTCTTTCTTGTACGCATTTTGTAGAAACTGTGCCAAAAACTTCAGGAAAACTTTGAAGAGATTTAAATCTAAAAAGTCAGAGAATTTGAGACAATCTGTGATACATAACTCAAACGTTAAACATCAAGAGTTTCCTGCCATATTGTTTTCTAATCATTGCTAAACCATGCTCCCAGCAGAAAAAGATAAATACACTGAAAATTCCAATGAATGTGCTGAATGAGGTGCTGCTTATTTTATGCTTGACTTGGATAATGTTTATTAATCCTAAAATCATAAAAATGGGATAAAACCATCTACAACAAAAATGCCACAAAATATATATGCATAGCTTGGTTTTCCAAAATTGCTTGCAAAAAGACCTATACACTTGCAAGCCTATCTGCTTTGCTATTGTAGGCGATTTTTTTACACTGAGATGTCTTTATTTTCCTCTGAGGACCTCTCTAAAACTTATATGTATAATCTTATCTTCGGCTCCTACAATCATTGTGGTTTTATTAATTTTCCATTCCTCCTCATTCAAAGACATTTCTCCTAAACTGTAATTTTCTTGGTTCCAAGTTCTGTTTTGTCAGACCTGAGCCCTTCATCCACTAAAGCAGCTTCCCACAGTGGCCTCCAGTTCCTTGGGCTGGTCACAGATATCTTTGTCCCTGCCAAGCCCTTATTTACTGAAGGCTTTACATTTGTATGAGACAGGATGGTACATTCTCTTCTCTCACTTAATAACTCTTTCCATAAGTGATCAGGAACTAAGAAGCATGAGAAAAAGGTATCATGTTTAATCCATAAACCTCATGATTTTTACTTTTTATATGCCATAGTTTCTATTGTTTATTCCTAGCAGACTGTTTCTCTCCCACAGCAGTGGGCTGAGGTAGTGATGCTGAATGCCAAGGCTGCTGCAGGCAATGGGACCACTGCCTGTGCCCTGGCCTGGGGTGCACAGAGCAAGATGTGAGAAACTACTGGACATGGCACAAGAAACTGCTGGACCCAAAAGATCACAGAGTGAGAAGCTGGCAGCTTTACAGAGAGTACTGTGAGGAATTCACAGGTGGTTAAGGAGGAGTTATGTGAGAAACAACCAAAATTCACAAGAAAGCTGGAGGTGAGTGCTGGGGATGTTTTGGGGAGCAGGGATAGTGTGAGGCTAACAGTACCAGGTAACCATATCAGCTTACCCACATGAGGCTGAGATCACCCTGAAATGCTATCACAAATACCAAAAATCAGATTCAGCAGCTGCATGAGTGGAAAATGGAGCAGAGATTAATTGGATTCATGGAGAGCTACTAAATCCATGAGCCTTTAAGGTATTAGTATTTGGTTACTAATTTGTTTAATTTCTTCACACTTTCAGCATGAAGGTACTTAGGGACAGCAAGACATTGGCCGAGAATAAGGATTCCAGTTCAGTGTAACCCTCTTCACAACCCCATGCTTGAACTGACTGCATTCCTGGGAAGCAGGGCACAGCTTTGTTAACTCAGTAGAGTTGCACCCAGTTGCTTCAGGAGTTAATCTGGCAGCTTCACTGCAAGGAACTGATTCAGAAGGTATGAAGTATATTACAGCCAAAGTATTATTAAATTCTTTGCCTCTTTAGAATCCTTTCAGTGCACTACTGCATTTCTGCACTGACCTGGGACATGCCATGAAGACTGATCCCTGCTCTCTATGTTTTGCCATTAATGCTCAATGCATGAGAGAAAGTGTTCCGGTTCTTCTTTTTTTTTCTTTTAAAAAGCTATGTTGAATATTTATCTTAAGCCTCAGGTAGCTGTTTAGAAAAGAAACAGCTGAGAATCAGATAATGTACCCCTTTCATTGACAAAAGATTTATGTCTTGCCTGGCGGGACTTCATACTTAGAGAGCTCACAGCTGACATAATCAAACACAAGTATCATGTAGTCCAGTGTTTATCCAGGGGAACCAAGACTGCTGCTCCCACACTTTCTTGTGTGAAATTATATCAGCCTTTGAAATTGGCAAAGATTTAAAAACATGATAAAAATCCTATTTGAAAGGGGGAAGAGAGGCTCAGAGGCAGTTTGAATCAATGAACACTGCAAAAATAAGTAGGGTATGCATGAACATTTCTGCTAACCTTCTGCAGGAGCCATCTGTCTAGTTGCAAGGCACCCTCTCCCCCATGGGCACGGGTGAGGAGTTCAGCCTCAATGCCTACCACCCTTCCCCCACAGCTGTCAAAACTATTGTTTGGCTCTAGCATATGTACCGTTAAATTCCACGCTGTGCCAAAAAGAGAAGGGAAATAGTATGAAATGTGTTCTTTGCCCCAGACTACATGTAGCTCAGTGTCACTGACTGTTTACAGAGAGGGTTTATCTGCATTTTAGCACAACTTTTTAGTCAATGTGTAAAAAACAAGTTCTGCATTTCCCAGGAGATCCTTTATTTTCTCCAAGGATAATAGGACAGTTTCCACCAGCTTTGCCACAGCTCAAACAAAGAAATGAAGAAGGAATAAACGTCTTTTGCAAATAGTGCTAATAGTCAGAAGAGCACTCATGGGAGCCTGGAAATAGGAGAAAGGGATTTGGTACACCTTTATTTCACCAAGTGAGCAGGTAAACCTGTATTTTTTCTCTTTCAATGTCCTTCATCACTCTGCCAGTCCAGACAGCCATACCCAGAGAAGTGCTACTGATTTGCAGTTTAAATTGCGCACTGGAAAGCACAGGCAGAATTTAGCCCAGAGGAAATAAATTAACCATACATCTGTTTAAGGTGGGAAATTCATTTTTTGGTATGCATCCCACAGCTGGAAAGCCTAGAGGTTAATGCACCCAACTAAATGGCCACAGACCTGGGTCCCATTTCTTCTTCAGACAATATTCTTTTGCATCAGGGAAGTCACAGTGTTTCTTCTTAAACAGTTTCATCCATAAAAATGAAAATGCACCTTCATGACTTTCACTCCAGTGAGGATGGTGGAGCTAATCTAATCTGGTTGTGAAATTAAAATGCTCACATAGAAACAGACTCTTGAAATTCAAAGTTTTATTTTTCCATGCTGTTCCATTGTAAAAATGTGGCAGCTTCTTCTACAGTACTCACAAATAGAGTAGCAGTGGTTGGGGTTTTTTTCTGGGTTTTTTTACATTGCTAAAAAATTGAATAAAATCTGTCCTTTGCCTTTCCATGTGCAATATTTGACTAATTGAGAATTAGAAATGCAATATCTATCTATTTTATATTTATCTGTTAGAAACAGCCTGTAATTGGTTTGATTTGGAGGGGTGGGGGAATATGTTTTTGTGTAAGTTTATCATTTTCTGTGGGGATGCATAATGAAGCACATGTATTTGGAGGCACAAATACAGGGGCAGGTGAAGTAAGTATACGTATGCTTGTGTGAAAAGCTGTTCATACATGTATGTACATATATACTTCTCACAGCTGAACCTGGAACCAGATTTACAATTGTTCTTGACTTCACACACACACAAAAAAATGAATGATTTAGACTGAAAATACCTTTTGTCTGCATTATTAAAAAATGGGGGGAAGAAGGGAAATTCTCCAAGATATACATAATTTCTCCTCTCTACCAGTCCTGTTACAGGCCAGAAATACACACTTAGAGTGTTTTGGTTTTTTCTCAATTCAATGTACCAGGTTTTAGCTATTCAAATCCCTTTTACCATTAGTGTAATTTAAGCTGCTCATCATTTGTGTGTGGATGTTGCCCTACTTCTGTGCTCTGCCTCTGTGCACTTTCAATTCAGTTTACCTGCTCTGGTCTGCCAGCTAAGTGAACCCCTCTGGCTTGTGCCACGTGCCTGAACTTCGTAACAGTGTAGGAGACAGTGTTGCTACCTTACTGAAATCTATTTCAGCCCTTTTTTTTATGATTTTGTTATGATTAATGAATGAGACTCAACCATTTGTAGTGCATTTATTAGCAGAAACAATATTGAAAGTAATTTGACCCCTACAGTACTTTCCTTTTTAATAATACTATACAGTGGCAAAAAGGCTATGAAATCCTGTGTAGAGATCTTTATCTTAGTTGAACTGGTTGAAATATAGACAATGGAAATTCTCTGGGTTGACATTGGTATAATAGAAAGCAGCATATGGCCTGCTCTTCTGAACAATGTGCTGTCACCACAAACTACCTCACCGTACATAGCTAACGCATAAAAAGTTTATTTGCCAGCCAGCTCCTGTGAGCTCTTTATTTATGGCTACTCTATAGTCTAAATAAAGCCATGTTTTTCATGATTAGAAACATAACAGTCTTGCAAAATCTGAAGTTGTATAAGTGAATATGAATGCTTTTATTATGAAATCATTTTTTCTGTAAGCACTGCAGAAATCAGACAATGCCATACTGTGTTACTCAACTAGCAGGTCAAGTGTAATGTGAAGGCACTCGGCTCAGAAGACCTCTCCTAGCAGGTTGCGTCTCACCCAAGGACTATATTCATATTACTCTCTCTCCCAGGACTTGAAAAATTGGAAACTCAAGCTCGTATTTTTTGTCAGCAGCTTCTTCAACTGGTAACTGTGCCTCCCCTCGCGTATGTGCACAGCACCTCACCTGTGATGGTCTAACCCAAGGGGAGGAGGGTGTTGTGTGCCACAGCTGTCCATTTACTCCTGTGAGCAGCTGTACCATTTAGCTCTGGAGTGATGGTCCAACAGCTTGCCTGAGGAGTAAGAGCTGAGGTAAGACATAGACTAAGATACCTGGATACCAGTATTTTTAGTGTTCAAATATATCCAGGGAAGCTAAGCTGCTAACTTTCTAGGTATAGGGAAAGAATTATGTGCTAACATCCCCATACTCACATTCAACTCCTCACAGAAAAGTAAAAGTTATCAAGCTTTGCAGTAATTTACCTTAAAATTGCAAGGTTAAGTAACCAAAGGAGCAGCTAGGACAGTCCTCAGGGATTCTAGTAAACCTGGCTGTTGTATCAAACAAACTGGTAGAAGTTGTAAAAAGAATCACATTAGTTAACATGGGGAAAAATGCATCCCTCAGAGAGCACACTTTTGCAGCACACTGTCATATGCCTCCCAAACCTACTAGAGCTCTGTAGAGGGACCCACATGTTGTGCCTTATGAGGAAACCCCAACAGCCCAGTAAAATGTGCCCCCCCCCCCCCGAGGCACAACTGCATACTGTTGACCTTACTGAGTGAACTAGCTGTGTTAGAGTCATAAAAATCTGTTGCAGTTATAACTAATATTACAGGGCCTTTGGTGTTCTTGTTGGATGGAACAGAACTCTCTGTACTTCTGACTCTTTTTGGAAGATGCAAACCAAATGTCTCATGTATCAATTAGACTGTGAAAATGTGCTGCTGGAGCTGCCTATGGAATATAATTTAATGATGAATTGCATGCATGCTGTAGAGAGACATAGCAGGATGTTATTGCCATTGTTCATCCTTTGGTATTTGGTTTGCAGTGCCTAAGCCTGTTAATAAGCAGTTCATCCTGCTTTTACTCTGGTGCATTTGACGCCAAGAGTGAATTTCCTCTATATGCTTTTCCACTGTAAGCTTTGCCAAAGCTCTTTTGTTCGGTATGTCAGTCAGCTGTAATCTTGCTTTAATTGTGCCAATAACTCATGTCTGGAGATTATTCATTCTGATCTGGTGTAACTACCATTGTGTCAGGCTAAAGCTGATGGAGACATCATTCTTGTGCAGACCCAGGACAGGTCTGTCAACAGCAAGTGTGATTCTGGGCCTTTCTTCATTTGCCCTGGAAGTCACGATAAGACTGTAAAAATACTGATTTTCTGTATTATGTACAAAGAACAAGGAGTGCAACAGCTCATAGAGTCTGAGTGCTCCTTTTGGAAAAGATTGTATTTCAATGTTTGTCAGATTTGTTCCAGAGGTTTTTATTTATTTTTGAGATTGTTACCAAGAAAGTATGTAAAATTAATGTCAGGAAAATTACTTGAGTGGTATCTATTACACAGCACTAACTACAGCAATACCAACGTTAGTTCTAACACTATTATTCCCTTCTTTGTGGGTGGGTGGGTTAGATTATGGTTGCTCGTAAGTTTGCTATAACAGTTGTATATCACAGGCTCATTCTTTTAAAGAAAAATCAGCTGAAAGAGATGAGCCATTTCTGGCCAGGGAGACTATATCACTTACTTGATAAAAGATATAAAAGTGATTCATACATTTTTCACATGCATAAACTAAACCACAGAAAGTTCCACCTGAACATGAGGAAGATAGATGACTTTATTTTCATTAGCTGCTGAAAGTTTGGACGGAACGTTTCTTTGCAGTACTTTGTTTTCTTCCAACCCCTTCCCTCCCACACCTTTTTGTTTTGTTCACAAAGCTACTTTTGAAACAAACTTCTGTTGGTGTATATGCTGTTCCAGCTTTCATCCTTGATAAAAACTACAATAACTAAGGGGCAAACTTTACATAGTAGTTCATGAGTAAATGGAATTTAATGGGGTCAATTATCCCCACATGCTTATGTGCAGGTTTCATTAATATTAATAGGTCATAGACATGCATATTGAGCTGAAGAATAGGCTTTCACTGGCCTCTACACTATTTTGTGTGTGTGTGCTGATTTAGAATTATTCAAGAGAACATGTTAGTTTTCAAATGTCTAACACGTTAACAGCAGAAAAAAACAACAAACCAACACATCCATTACACCTGCAAGAAACAGAAAGGTTGAAAAAAATAGATTAAGCATAACTAAAACAGTGCAGATGTTGTTTGTGCTTTTTCCATAATTTAGAATTGCATTACATGCCTATGTCTCCATAAATATTTAATGAAATGGAAATGAATATGTAGCAGGCAGGGTTCTTCCCTCTAAGGGTTAAGTTCCATTTCTGCAAATTGGTTTGTGCCCTATTTCTGTTCCTGTGTCTCTGTGCATCTAGACATTTTCTTGGCATCTCTAACTCTTCTGAGGTTTCAGGAGATCTTTGGAGATTTGCTAGTAATTGACCTGCTTGGATTGCACATGACTGGCATTTTCTAAAAGATAATACAGTCTTGCATTTTGTTGTTAAGTGCTGGTTGTGTTATTAACTTGTGGCCAAACCAGAATAAAGGCTCAGGAGACATCATTTTCCCTTAGACAACTTCATTTGTTTCTTACCGTAATCTCCATTATAAATGAAGCACTTTGGTCTCAGCTGAAAGCAGTCACATATTCTTTAACTTGTCAGACATGTTTGTCCAGTAATGAATACACCCCACTTTGCTCAAAGTTTCTTTTTAAGATGTTACTGTACACTAAGGGTAAACAGTCAACGTTTCAGCCAAGTCAGATGATTTAACCTTCTGCCACTTCTCTAACCACTAAAGAATTCCTGCCCCTGCTCACTGTGTATTTGAACACGTGTAAGTGTTTTCTGAGAAAACAGGATTATCAAGTGAAGTAAAGCTGATGTTTTCTCCTTAAAAAACAGGAATAATTAATAAGCTTAGGTCCACTCAATCCTAAAGGAAACAAACAGAATGAGCACTGTTTGTTTTAGGTCTATTGCATAACAGAAACAGATATTGCCCCCAGCTATGATAGCATAATTCTGGAGGAACCTTCAGGTTTAGTTCTGTAATTTAAACATGTACTATCTCAGTAACAAATCTGATTTATTTCAGCAAAGTTCCTCATGTTTAGCACTATCTTTAACAGGTAATAACATTAGAAATTAAATTAGAACCTAGAAACAATGAATTAGCACTAACCAGATAAACACATGCAATCACTTTCTGCAACATGAGAATTAATACTGCTGATCTTTGCAAGTAGCAGTGACAACTCAAACACAATGCCTTGGGGCCTGCAATAACCTGAAGTCCAATTAACTACAGCGAGGACTTTTTATATTACACTTTGTATTAAATAAATTCAACACAAATCCATTGAGGCCAATAAGGATTTTTAGGCAGTCTAGCTAAACTTTACCTCAAAAGTGATCAAGCTGCATAGGATTCTGGCTTGCAAGATACCTGATTTATGTATTACCTTCCACTAATGCAGGTGCTTAAGATGAAAATAGGAGCAAATAAGAGATGGAGATGGGAAAAGTCTTCTGTCAGTACAATTTTCATTGTTTTGTATCTTTCATTAGGAATATATATTAAAAATATATATTTATAAAAAATGTACAAATACATATATATTAATCATTCTTATTGTTTATATTATAATTAAATACCATATATCTTATATCTACTATACTATATATTATAAACTTATATATTCTATGGTATATTAATATATATTCTATATTGTATTGCATTAAATCATATTACATGTTATTGTATTATACTATAATAAGATACTATGTATAGAAGATAATAGAATTCTGTTAGATTCCATTATATTCTAGTATATTTTAGTAAATTCTATATTATATTTATATAGAATGTAATAGAATTATATAAGATTCTAGTAGATTCTATCAGATGCTAGTATATTCTATCAGAATCTAGTATATTCTAGTAGATTCTATATTATGTAGTGAATGTAATGGAACTTTACTAGATTCTACCAGGTTCTAGTATATTCTATTATATTCTATATTATATTAATATATAATGTAATAGGATTCTATTAGATTCTACAGTATTCTATCAGATTCTGGTAGATTCTAGTATATTATATCAGATTGATTATATATATGTAATATATGATATATTTATCTATAATATACTAGAAATCTGTTTGATTCCATCAGATTCTAGTGTATTCTACTACATCCTATATTAATCTAGATAGTAATATAATTCTATTAGATCTTGTTAGATTCAATAGAGTCTATATTATATTTATATATGATATAATAGAATTCTATTGGATTCTAGTATATTCTATTAGACTCTATCAGATTCTAGTAGATTCTATAGTATATAGCAAATGTAATGGAATTTTATTAGATTCTGCTATATTGTTAAATTCTACCAGATTGTAGTATATTCTATTAAGGTTGCAGTACATTCTATTATATTCTGTATTATGTTTATATAGAATGTAATAGAATTCTATTATATTCTAGTATAGCCTACCAGATTCTATATGTATATATAATATAATAGAAGTCTTAGATTCTGTTAGATTCTAGTCTGTTCTGGTATATTCTGATATATTCTAGAATATACTATATTCATGTAGATTGTAATAAAATTCTATTAGATTTTAGTAAATTCAATTATATATAATCTTATATAAAACATGATAGATTTTTATTGGATTCTAGTACATTTCCTTAGATTCTAGTATATTTGATTAGCTTATACAATATAGTATATTTATATAACATATAATAGATTTCTATTGAATTCTAGTATATTCTAGTTTGTTCTATCAGATTCTAGTATATTTCCTTAGATTCTAGTATATTTAATTAGATTGTAGTACATATTGTATTTGTATAAAATATTATAGATTTCTACTGGATTTTAGTATATTTCCTTAGATTCTATTGATTTCTTGTATATTCTCTCAGATTCTAGTATATTCTAGTGTATTTCCTTAGATTCTAGTATATTCAATTAGATTATATTACATATTGTACTTGTATAAAATATTATAGATTTCTATTGGATTCTAGTATATTCTGTCATATTCTAGTGTATTTCCTTAGATTATATTAGATTCTATTGGATTCTAGTGTATTCTAGTATATTCTAGTATACTCTTATCAGATTCTAGT